TATAGGGATCCATCATTCCACTTCACGACTTCTATCCTCTTATAGTTAAATTTTGATTCAAGCTGGTACAAAATAATGCAATATTAAATATTTAGTGCAACCAAGAAAATCTTCTCATCTAAAAAAGAAGAGGGCTAATTTTGTTCTCGTTATTAATCCATTTATGCATACTTTATTTTCCATCCATACATTCAACATTCATGCATCCTCCCGCTGTCAGTTTTTAATCTCCGCATCCTTCGATGACAGCTGGGGCTTTTATAGAGCAAAGGCAACTCCCTATTAACAATTCTCTTTAACTATCGTTTCTGTGACTGACCGACAGAATTTTATCGATTATTATAGGCCAAACTTTGCTTTGCAGCCTTTATGGAGCCAAAAATGGCTGGATATTTCGCATGTAACAAAGTACTTACTAGCCATGTTTCTTAGTTCATATTTTTCTGCGAACAATAGGTCAACCAAACCTAATATCTATCGCATTACTCTATTGCAAAATGTGACATTAGCCTTGAGCTGGTCACTCTCGCATGAGCGGTCTTGGCTAGCGGGCGTGGTTTAATGCGGCCTCCGTGCGGTGATGCAAGAGAAAATATCGATATTTATAATACTGTTCCTACAGTGTATATATAGTATAATATACAGTGTATAATACTGTAGAATACTGTATATTTATAATACTGTTACTGTATAATACGTCCGTCACTGTTTTCCCGCATGAATCTTGAATTAACATTAATTCTTATCGACGATTATGGCAGTTTGCGGCCACAGTGTGGTGATCCTCGGGAGTCATTATGCATCCAACAAGGGTCTGCAGTCCGACAGCGCTTTCTTCATTCATTCTGATCTACATTTAGCGAAGAACGTGTTCAGCTAATGATTATTTTTATAGCACAAATTAATTTGTATGGATGATATTGTTGAGAAGAATTCAAAGTTCAAAGAAGTACTTGTTAATCAGACAAGCTAGTTACATTCTTCGGAATAGATTTTTGGCCTAACTCATGGATGATGTTTGTTGATAGGAATTCAAAGTTCCAAGATGTACTAGTTAATCAGAAAAGCTTGTTAGATTCTGCGGAATGGATTTTCGCGGATTGCCAGTTCAACATTTCGAATTAAGATTCAAGAAGACAGACACGGTGCACAAGCCCGTGATAGTTAAATGTTGCGTGTGAAGCGCGCAGACTAGTGAACTGTACTTCTGTGAAGCTTTTAATGATAATTTTATAGATGACGCCAATTTTTAGCGAAACAGTGTTCAGTTATTTGCTCAATTGAATGAATGGGAAAATGCAGTAAAGACTACATGAGTAAGGCAAATAAACTATCGTCGAAATATTTTCCGAGCGAGATAGATACGTAGAACTATCTTCGTGTGGCTCAATATAAAATGAGAATTTGTCATAGTACCTCTTGTTAAAATACTTAAAACAGGGGTTGAAATTTGTATCAATCAACGTTGGTTCGGCTTTCATATATTAGATGCAACTTTTTCATAAGTAATTAGACTAACACGAGCCTTTAACCATGAAATCAGTCTCGCGAAGGATATCGATTCCGAGAGTAATGCACATCATAATAAATATTTTGACTCGCGATCGGTTACTATCAAGGCCTGTTTTCATTGCTGAGGCTTGCGCATCATTATCGTGGGCACTATTGGGCCGCGTTAATGATGGGATGCTGTTAGCTTATTGCGTGTGCGTCTGTACAGTAACTCTTGTGGTGTCCTTGTCGTGACGCTCGTGCTGGTGTCAATTTGCATAGCTTAATTCTCCTTCAATGGCTTGCTTTGACTCGAGGGCCTCTCGAGTGGTGGACAAACAGCGACGTAACTACGCAGTGACGTAGCGCGGCTACTGCGTAATAATTAATGCATTCAAAATACGTGGAGGAGTCTTTGGCGCGCGAGTTTTAGAGCGCTTTCACGTGCACAACTTTTGCCATGACGATCTTTTGATATTAATGAAATATAATAACTATTTCTAGTCCACATAGGAGCCAAAACTATGTTGGAATATTAATATTATTGTGAAATTTAGAGAAAAATGTTTTTAGATCTAGCTCCCCAAAAAGACAAGATTTTATAATACAACAAAAAATAACATATATTCGTATACTATATTTTCAAATCTTTCCTACCCCGTATGTGTGTACGAATGTTGCGCACTCACGTTTTTCTCAGACGTGTCGTCATATAGGTCTTCACTCAGCTCCGCAACACAAACGTGTTTACATTAGTAGAAACCTCTCGGGTTTCTCGATGGCGTCTTATTCGATGTTTGTTGTCAGCAACGCAGGCCTCCTTTGTTGACACAGACGCACTGCGTCTAGAACGAGCCTGACCCTGAGTAAAGTTTATGCCAAATCAAGGACATATGAAAGCGATTGACCAAATATCAGCATTTGTGGCGAGTTAACTCGACCACACATTAACTCGAGTTTCCGTTTTCTATTTGCTCTTAAGCGTCATTAGGGATTCAACACTACTCTATTTTGAAGTCTCTATTTTGATGTATAACTTTAGCTGCATGCGGCACTTTCCAGAAGTATAGTTTTGCGGTGTACTAGGAACCGAGAGTAAAAGGTAAAAGTAAAGTACGTAAGGTACGTAGGTAATCAAATTTATTCTTTCGCTTCGATCTTTAAACCTTGACGTTTGAGATTTTCTGGCGCTGTTAAATCTTTTCTCTGTTCACAGTTTCATGGACATTAATCTTCATCTTGATGACTGAGCATTTACGTACAAGATTCTTTGTATAGTAATTTCTTGAAAAGTGAATATGACATCTTTATTCTTAGATATGAGGCTTTATCATCGTAGTGGATAATTTTTTCGATCATTAATAGAAGGAAATTCTTGTAAGAGCGTCAAAAACTGAAACGAAAATGATCAGCCGCTCTCCGATCATCAGCCACCATTCATCTTCTCTTCAACATTCCGCCAACGGAAGGCATTCTCATACTTCACACTCTTCTTCTTTACAGCCTCTTGCATCTTCTCCAATAAAAAGTTCAGTGAAGCTCGTAGACCCTTGCTTGGAATTATCTAAAGAATCATTCACTGTTCATGACGAGCTGTGCTTGACAAAGACTTCCTCTCATCCTTCCGAACCGATACAAACATTAAGCATGGTTAACACGTTTCAAAGCTCAACAGATATTAAAGGTGACAAAGCATGTGCAAATACAGGAGTGGCAAATTGTTCGTTTCAAGGTGTCGAATCTGAAAGTATTCTTCACGAACAACATCTCATTAATAACTGTGCAAAAAGTTTCCTGGAATTTTCAACAAAGCAGCTGAAGTCCAGCAATTCACTTGATACTTCTCAGAGCCAGAAAAATTACGAAGCTTCTTTTGCTCAGAAACAAACGCATGGAACGAAAGGAAAAAATTTTTCTATCTTTTGTAACGTGCGTAATGATATCCTGAAAGATATAAAAGTTAAACATCATTTCAGTGCGCATTCAATATTCAGGGAACATTCAAGCTTGAAGAATTTAAAAATTCCAACTGGACATAACCAATCAACAAGGCTTACAGAAGGTAAAAAAGAAGGCGTCTGCTGCGAGGACGCAAAATCGTCCGACTACGTGGATAGTCGCTGCGCGCTGCCATCTTATTACAACAATTTTAATAAGGGAAATGATGAACCTTCACTGACCCCAACTTACCACTCCGTGCCAATTCCTATAGCGGATACATCTCCACTTCTATCATCGTCACTTCCTGGTTCAGCGTTTTCAAACAATGTTCATGTTGGGTGCAATTCTCATTCTTCGCTAACAGCAAGTTTATCTTCTTCGTTTGACCTGCATTACGTTTCTCCCACTACCATCGACTTGAGAAACACTCCTCCAAATACTCCATCAAGCACACAGAATTCTGAATCTTGCGTGCAAGACATTTCTAATCGGCAATTAGTAAGCACCAAACTTCAAACGTCTGTTCCTCCATTCACTTCGAGCTATTCATTTGACGCCACAAATTCTGTTAAATCTCGAACATCGATCCGTCTACTTACTACAAATTCTTTTGACGAATTAGCTCTTATGCAACTGAAAACTTCTCACATACATTTCAAACCTCAGCGTAATTCCGATGCGCTGTCGCTAAAATCCATCAACTCCTCGGAAATTATCTCAATGCATTCACAAAGTACGGCGGACACTATTTCCTTGGCATCTCAGACGACGCTGGATGCGTCGCTACTGCAGCAGGTACCCGCTAGTGGAGACCCTGCGCTCACTTCTCTGGCCGCCGTGCCTTCACCGACTCCTTTCTCGGCGTCCATCAACCTAGAAGCTGCGCCGCTTAAGCTGAGAATCTCATCCTCTTCAGAGAGCGAGGACGAAGGTTGGCTGCTATTGAACAATGAGAAAAAGGTGAGGCTTTCTTCTTAATATGTTTTGCTGGTTGTTATTAGCTGAATGTCCGGCGACAGAAATATGACTTCGTTTATTTGGGTCTGTACCCTGCCAAATGTTGAGATTACTTAGATGACTTCATTGAATTCGAACAAAAAATTTGTGATGCTTTTTTATTTTTTGGTAAATATATTTATTAAAGTTAGTAAATCACCGTAAAATTTTTCAATTCCATTTAGATTATGCCTAAATTGAAATTACTTTCTTTAATATATGAAAAATCGGTGTCCAAATGGGTTATTTACTTTTTATCTCGTTTTTCCGTGTAGTATAGAAAATGGTTTACTCCGTAAATTATGAGCTTCAGGTAACCATAAATGGAGGGAAGTAAGGAAGGGCTAACATTTTTTTTCATTGCCACACCCGTTGCATCTTCCGTTCTCTCTGATTTAACCATTATATGGTTTCACTTTGGTAAAAATTCCAATAGATGGAAATTATTTAGCTTTGGATAGCTATTTAATATTCATTGTTCGTCGCGGGCGTTTTTTGCGTCAGATAAAATAAGGCATGCAGAGTTTTTCCGTTCTAATGCGTACCCAAGAAAGGTTGAGTCATAAACAGAATTAGATTAATTTCTTTTAATGATTAAAATTCGTGAAAAAGTAGGAAATAACAAGTAAAGTACTACGCACTACATTTGAACAAATTTCCTTAGACGATACGCTGAGATTCAACAAATCAACTTAACAATTAGAACATTTTGATTACTTCGATTGATGAACGGCGACATTGTGCATGAATCTCAGGACAAAACCTTTAACGAAATTTTTGATCCATTTTAAAATAAGTTTTGATGTTACATATATAATAAATATCGTAGAGAGGGCAATTACCAACAAAACAAAGCCGACATCGATTAGGAAGTATTGAACTATTGAGAGGTTGGCTGCTTTCGACTTCAAGTGCGCTGCCCCCTGATGTCTCATGACGTACTCCGTCCAATAGACGGCGCGGTCCAGAGGGTGGGTTTCTTGATCCTTCATGATGACCGAGCGACGTCTTGCTTCCTTCCCATACGAGGGATTGTTCATCACCCGCAAGATTGCGTCTTCGATGTTCTGCTCCGATAATGTTTTTAGTTCCAGAACAGTTGCCATACCAATGGACTCGGCCTGTTTGGCGTTAAGCGTTTGATCGCTCATTAGCGGAAGAGCCACTATGGGTACGCCATGGTAAGCTGTTTCTTGTAGAGAAAGAAGTCCTCCGTGGGTGAAAAACGCTCCAATGGCTGGGTGGCCTAGAACATCTTGTTGGGGGAGCCAAGGCCGTGTAATGACGTTAGAGGACAGATTAGAAGGTCGTTCGCCGTAAGGCAGACGATTGAAAACGTTGACAAACATTGAGAGCACATCTTCTGGCATTGAAGAGCTTTTAATATGAGAACCAAGACTAAAAAGTATTGCGTTTTTCTCTCCAGTAACATCAAGAAAATGGCTTAGTTCAGGGTCAATTGTTTGCAAGTCTTTGGAAGGACGACAGTGCATACCACCAACTTCAATCACGTTAGGAGTCATGGGCCGAGGAAAACCTAATGAGTGATGGGAGTTAACTAGTACGACAGATGCATTGCGTTCCACTTCTTCAAGCGAAAAATGTTCATCTTTCAGAAACTCTTTCACCACTTTTTCCAAACGGTTGAGCACCAAATGTCTTCTTGCGATTGGTGAGACAATTCTAAACACGGAGTTGATCACTCGCTGCCAGAGACTCATCTCATCCGTGTACGGGAGGTACTGATTTGGAACAAATGCTGGATTTTCTGGGTTACCCATGATGTCGGCTGTCCAAGGAGTCAACCCGGATGTCGTCACGTAAATGAACGGAACTTGAAATTTATGCACAAAAGCCAATCCACACTCGTTCATGAAAGCAGGCAGCATGATGAGGTCTGGTTTGTTCATCCAAGCACTTTGAACCGCAGGATCTTTCAGGAAGGCTTCGCAATACACATGAATGTTTTTGATAACTTTTTTCATTACTTGAGAATTAATATTTTCCGACTCTTTGTACATTTGGAAAACATTAAATTCACCGGTGGAGTTGATCATTTGCTGACGAGCAGTTTCTGCCACAATATCGTTGTACGCTGGTGCTGTTGATCCCTTGAAATTGGAAGAATACATAGAGACGACGGTCACATCATGCCCCTTTTCGCCTAATTTCTGGGCGATGGGTGTGAAGATGTTCTTGTGAGATGCAGAACCGAGTGGAAGAACCATGAGAACTTTTGAGGAAGTGGCGCAGGAAATAGCTGATGCGATAAGAAGACATATGCGTAAGAGCGTCATGATGACTCTTCCAGTAGGTTCTCTTCAATTGTAATTCAAGTCTTCAGAAGATTTGCTTGTCACTTTTATAAGTAGAGAGAGCTGAGCGTTCTCTGGTGTTAAAAGCTCGTCAGGTTTGGGAATGGCTGAGGCCGGGCTGTAGCAGCTTTTATACCATTTTGCTGACTGATAAGCTGAGCCTGCTGCGCATTTTTCTATCGTTATCTCGTCGAATATTGGGTCTGGTTTTCCTCGTATGATGAATGAAAAAGTTTATCTCTGTGATATGAACGCGCACGGACAAGTAATAATGTTCACTGTGTCGATAATAGCCTATTTCGAGTCAATTTTCCTCAATGTTTGCTTGCTGCTTCATGGCAGTGACGGAAACGTTTTCATTGCTAGTAAAGTATTCATCTTATTATACTACTTTCCCAAATAAATTTGTTTTTCTGTTCCTGCTGCTTCCTATGATTTCTTTGCTGAAAATGGCCACCTCTGGAAACACTTATTATACTTCAATTGTCATCACATGTTCATAATGAACACGTATCTTACAATATCAAACTGTCATATACAATATCATTCGTAATAAAAATGTTATTGAAGAAACTCCTATGTGTTTGTTTCGAAATTTGTAATTTGTGCAATGAATTTAAACCCCAGAGTGCACATTTATTTTACGCTGAATGTTTTTAGCTGCATGAATTTTGAATGGATGTCATACTGCATCAATAAGAACATTATTCTGAATCTCTAGTCTATTGATTCATGTAATGAATAAGGCGGCTTAGAGTAACATGGGTAAATTCAATAATGTTGGGGCCAAGTCCAGCAAATATTAGATAATTTAAAAGAATAAGGCATTGAAATTTAAAATGTAATAATTTTTTATTCCTATTCCTAACAATATTTAGCTCCAATTTTTCCCCTCTAAGATACACCTAGGACCGTGACTATATTGATTGCACTTTTGTTTAAATAATTACCACAATCGTTTTTGTACATATTGTGACTTGATACGTACGGTTTATACTAAAACATAAAATATATGTGCGCTCAATTCTTCGATTTCCTTTGTTCCTAAAGCTACGCTGATTTGATTCGTTGAGTCAATTTTCTTTTATGCGGTAGATTTGCATAGAATTTTACTTACAAGATATCGTTCATTAAGAAGCCAGGGTCTCCCTTTAGCTGTGCAGGGATATTTAGCTTCATGTGAACAGCAATGTGGGATTTTAGGTGATTAGTTCCACGACTATAAAAAAATCAATAATGTGTCTACGGTACAACTTCTAACTCATCCTGTTTTTATCACTATATTCTATTTTACGAAATTCGTGAAGACTCTGAGATTGGATTAAGTTATACTTTGATTGGCTAAGTCACACTCGTGAATGATGTCTGGACGAGGAACTTTTCCTGTTGCAATCAACAGGAAAAGTTTATGAGTTTAACTAATTCTAGACATTTACGACCAACGATGAAGTTATTCAAATTTTCCGATAGTCTCTAAAATTTAGAAACTTTACACGAGGTGCTGAATTAAAGCAATAAGAAATAGCAACTGAACGTTTTCTACCGAGTTCGGTGGTCGACGTAAATTGATAAAAGTTTTAATGTGAAAAAACTCAAATTCTCTGATAAAGGTGTAACAGCGAGAAGCTTATTTTATTGATCAAATTTACAGGTAACGAAATTACGGAATTTTGTTTGAAATCATAACTTTGCCTGATTTTACCGAAAAGTTAGCGTTTAATTTAGTTCCGATGTTCATTCCAGAAATAACATATACAGAATCAATAAATTATTAAGAAGAAAGTAATGATCCTTCAAAAGAATTTTTATGATCTATCGATAGAGAACACACAATTTTGGCGTTAAATCAGCTCTTATTATTGAAATATATTCACGAGTACGTATTAATTTTGCGAACAGGAATATTAAATACCTAGAACAGAATGAGATCATCGATTTTCGCTCTCAAATGACAGACATATGGGTATTCCCTCAGAATCGGCGGTCACTTCACATCAGTTGAATTAGACGAAACTGTTACATAATATTTATTATCCGCTAAGGTTAGGTAAAGATACCTTACCGTGATATATCGCGTCGGTAAATTCTGTGCGAAAAATTATTTGAATTATCAACGGAATTGGGAGCAGTTCAAATTTGAAACATGACCTAAAAATACGTTATTAAACTGTATAAAGACTTGTGTACTTATAAATTCTACTTTGATAAACCTACAATGATTGATCCTAGAAAACTTGCAAGAAAGTTTGCAAGTGGGGGATTGACTTCAATATACGATTCCGTACACTTCTTCAGCACTAATAAGTCTGACGTAGAAATATTTTCAGTCCCAAAACTTTAGTATCAATCAAGGTGAATATACTAAACGAACGAAACTGTTAGAAGAGGTGGTTACCGTTCAACTTTCAGTGGGTAGTTAGTTCTCTACTATCTTCTCCATTTAAAACCCCTAGCATATTTGTTGGAACTTAGGTAAAAAATTTGCACGCATTTTCGTCTTCTATCAGGAAGTATTCATTTATCATCATAGGGTGGAGCTTAGGTTAGGTCATCTCAAGGAATCTACGCGAAAAGTTTAAACGTGACTGCTTTCCATCAGAAAATCTTGAATTCCCGCCCATAATGTCGAACAGTATTTAGCTAAAAACTAAATTTTTTAAACCGAATGCGGATTGGTCAAACCGGTTCCATGAAAGAACTGTGGGGAGAATACTAAACCGTAACCAGAATGAAGTACCAGCAGTTTCCATTTTAACGAGGTTCATCAACACTTAACGTTGTCACCTAACCAGCTCCTCACTCTTGTTTGTTTTCGTGTGCATCTTGATCCACACATGTTCTACATGGTAGCTGAAGGGTTTCCATCTAAGCTTGTATGGCTAAAACTATTCTGTTATGTAGGTAAATTCAATCTATTATACAGAAAAAATTTCAACTGTTGTTGAAATAGAAACGCTTGTTCAAAAATAAGTTTATTAAGACCTTTCAGTGATCCAATTTTGTCTTAAGGTAGAAAAGCTCGAGACCAATACAAAATACGCTTGAACAGTTCTTTTAAGCGATACTTTGAGATTCACCAGTAGATGTACTTTCGCAGGCATTCTATTCAACTCGCGATCATGAGTCCAGGAAAGAATAACACTGCTCTTCTTTCAACAAACCATAAAGAAAGAACTAGGAAAAGTTTAAACAAAAAGTAGATAATGTACACGACCAAAGATGAAATGAAGAGTGCTCCGAATAGCAAAGCAAATCCAACATCAATTTGAAAATATTGAATTATTGAGAGGTTGGCTGCTACGTTAGAGGACAGATTCGCAGGCCGCTTGCCTTCCCATTTCCACACTACGTTGTAAGGCAGACGATTGAAAACGTTGACAAACATTGAGAGCACACCATCTGTCATTGAAGAGCTGTTTATGTGAGAACCCAGACTGAAAAGTATGGCATTTCTATCTCCCGACGCATCAAGGAAACGATGGAGCTCAAGATCAATTGTTCGGATGTCTTTAGAAGGTCTGCATTGCACGCCCCCAATTTCAATAACGTTAGGAAGCATAGGTCTCAAAGATCCTAATGAATGATGAGAGTTCACGAGAACAAGGGATGCATTGCGTTCCAAATCAACAAGTGAAAAGTTGTCTTCCTTCAGGAACGCCTTTGTCACACTTTCTAGCCTACTGAAGACATATCGTTGTCTAAGACAGGGCGAAATAATTCGAAAGATTGAATTAATCGCTCGCTGCCACAGATTCATATCATCCGTATAAGGGAGATACTCCAAAGGGACAAATTCCGGACATACAGGGTTGCCCATGATGTCGGCAGTCCAAGGAGGCAACCCAGAAGTTGTCACCAAAATAAACGGAGTTTTAAATTTTTGGATCAATACCAATCCACACTCGTTCATAAAAGCAGGCAACATAATTAGGTCTGGTTTGTCCACCCACGCACTTTGAACCGCAGGATCTCTCAGGAAGGCGTCACAATACACATGAATGTTTGCAACTACCTTCGTGAACATCTGATAGTCTATATTTTCACGTTTCTCGTTCATCTGAAATACGTTGAATTCACCTTTATAGTCAACCATTCGTTGATGAGCATTCTCTGCAACGAGTTCTTTATACGCTGGTGTTGTTGATCCTTTGTATTTCGAGGAATACATAGAAACGACTGTCACATCATGCCCTTTCTCACCTAATTTCTGTGCGATGGGTGTGAAGATGTTCTTATGAGATGGAGGACCCAATGGAAGAACCATAAGTACTTTGGAGGCTGACATACCAGCAATCATTAAAGCAGTGATTATACAGATGCTTGAATGCGTCATGATGATCAATGTGGAGCTTATGTAAATTCGTCACGTTAGTCGCTGGTCTTCACGCATATTTTTTGGTCCGCTTGATGAGGATTTGGATTTCAAGATATTGCTGTCGGGAGGGCTGCGCATCAACTGCGTACGAGACACTTCTAGTCTTAGAATGCCGGCTTCTGCGCTGGCAAGCCGTTCAGAGTATTTGCGCATATGCATAAAATGGCCACTGAACTTTTCATGGTAATTTGAGGAATTTTGGTTCAAATTTTCCTGGTAACGTAAAAATAACGACTGTGTTCATAGTACGCACTTCTGACTAGTTACTTACACTCTACCGATAAACGACGAGCTATCAGCAACTTATTTTGAAGGTATTTTCCTCATATGAATGAGGTTTCCCGGGAACTCGTTAGATATTTACTAATGCTTCAATTTCAAACGGAAAAATTTTTTAATTGCCTAGTCGGTTTCCAATTAATTTATCATATTTATTATATCATGATCATTGACGCGGCTATAGAGAACGAATAAATATGGATTAGATGAATCAGATTTTTTTGCAATTTGGTGTTGTGGTTCAGGAAGTCTCAAGAAATTCTAGGTTTGCAATTAGTTCATTCAAACTATTTAACTATTACCAAGTAAATTCGTGCTGTTATCTTCATTTCTTATATTACCAAATATGATAAGTGACTAAAGATCCTACCGGAAATTGTTGGTCTGGAAAGCAAAAAGTTCTCAGAATTTCGGTGCTGCGGTTTGTGCGTAG